CCTTGACCCCCCCCCCCCAATGCTAGGACTGGGGAAAATGTTCAGAATTCCTAGCTTGGACAGCACATATTCATGTTTAGATTGACCAAGTCCCTTAGTAAGAATGTCTGCCACCTACTCTACTGTAGCACGATATAAAGTAGAAATGAGGCCTTGTTAAATCTTCTCATGTATGAAATGGCAACCAATATCAATATGTTTTATTTTCTCATGAAAAACAGGATTGACAGCAATAGGAAGAGCTTACTTTCTATCACAGTAGATAGTCACAGGAGACTGTTGCTCTATACCCAATTCCTTTAGCAAACCAAGTATCCACACTACTTTAACAATAGTAGAAGCTAGACTCTGGTATTCTGCTTCTGCTGAACTTCTAGAAATGGTAGATTGCTTCTTATATTTCTAAGAAATCAAGTACCAAACTTGACAAAGTACCGTGTGATTGACTTGCGTGTGTTAGGACAAGCAGCCCAATTGACATCACAAAATACCGAAAAAGACTCAGAACAATGTGCATTCAAAAGGACTCCCAATCCTGGACTGGATTTGATATATCTGACCACCTTGAGTGCAACTTCTATATGAGAAGCCTGAGGACTATGCATACATTGGCCGAGACTCTGAACAACAAAGGAGATGTTTGGGGCACGCATTATTTAAATCCTTATAATCTACACACATTCTATATTTTTTCGCTTTTTTAGGGACTATAAATACAATGGCTAACTATTCAGGATATTTCACCTACCGAATAGATCCTATTTTGAGAAGTTTAATTACCTTTTCCTTTATGAATGCGTGCTTTACCTCGGACTGGGGTCTTCTCTTTTGCTTCACTGGTTTGAACCTAGGGTCCGGGCTTAGCCGATGCATCATTATCTCCGGTGGGATCCCTGTCATGTCTAAATGGGACCAAGCAAAATAATCTATGTTATCAATAAGAAATTGAATAAGCTTTTTCCTGAGTTCGGGGGTTAATTCCGTTCCCATATATACCTTTCGCTCTGGTAGGTACTCGATCAATATAACCTGTTCTAGCTCTTCTACCGTTGATTTGGTGGCATCAGAATCTTCGAGAACAATAAAAGTTCGAGGGGTCAGAAAATCCCCCTCTTCTTCTTCTATCTCATGCTTCCCTGATTCGGTCGAGGCTGGTGGCTGTGATTGCTATTTGACTTCCTATTTACTTTTGATGCTCGACCTTTCCGAGGTTGATAGTGTCGACATTGGTGTTACCTCATCGATCGCAAATATTTCCTTTGCAGCATGCGGCTCCCCGTATACTGTTTTTACACCGGCCAACGTTGGGAATTTCATCATTTAGTGCTCATATTGTGGATCCAAGGTATTCCGAGTAGTGCATCGTAACTCATGTCGCCCTCGATTACGTGGAACTTGGTATCTTGAATGGTTCCAGCCACGTTCACCGGTAGAATAATCTCCCCTTTAGTTGTTTCACTGGCCATATTGAAGCCGTTTAAGACCCGAGCTACGGGCACGATTTGATTTTGTAGGTTGAGATGCTCCACGACCCCCGATCGGATGATATTCGCTGAGCTACCTAGATCCACTAAAACACGCTTAACTTGAACTTTATTTAATAAGATAGAAATTACCATAGCGTCGTTGTGGGATTGAGAAATGTCTTCTACTTCTTCGTCATTGAATGATAAAGTGCCTTCGCGCACATAATCTCGGGATCATTTTTCCCTAATGATTGATACCTTAGTGCGTTTGAATATGGGTCCCTGTGGAATGTTGACCCCACCGACGATCATATGAATGATATGTTGGGGTTCCTCCTATTCATTTTTCCTGTTGGCGTCCCTTTCTCTGGAATGGTTCTTGGCTCGATCGCTGAGGAACTCTCGAAGGTGGCCCTTATTGAATAAATAGGCTATCTCCTCCATTAATTACCTGCAATCGTCGGTTTTGTGACCATGCGTGCCATGATACTTGCACATTAAATTTGGGTTTCTTTGGGAAGGATCGATTTGTATGGGTCTGGGCCATCTAGTATCTTTGATCCTTCTGATTGCCGATACAATACCCGATGCATCGATGCTAAAGTTATATTCCGATAACCGAGGTGCCTCTATCGGATCGTCATACTTGTCAAAACCACTTTTTCTCATACGTCCCCGAGAATTGTGTCCTCGGTCACTTCTTCGATTGCTCCGGGCAAAATTGTGTCCTGAACCATTGTTCCTTCGATCTGTGGTATATGGTTAATATCAGTCTCTTTTCGATCTTGCATCCATGTCGACATCCCTCATGTTTTTACCTGCCAACTTGCTTGGATGTACTGAACTGGAAGGGGGTCCTAATTGGTCGTCCTCGACCCTAATCTATGATTGATATCGATTGTGCACATCTTCCCAAGTTACAGCTGGATACTCGATCAAATTTTGTTTTAATTGACGTAATGCTATCGAACTCCGCTCGTTCAACCCTTGGGTGAAAGCTTGAACGGCCCAATCATCTGTGACCGGTGGCAACTCCATACGTTCCATTTGAAATCGGGATACGAACTCCCTCAGCATTTCATTATCCCTTTGTCTTACCTTGAAAAGTTCTGATTTCCTCGTTGCGACCTTTATGGCCCCGGCGTGTGCCTTTACGAAAGAATCTGCTAACATGGCAAATGAGTCGATGGAATTTGGTGACAGGTTGTGATACCAAATCATTGCTCCCTTCGAAAGGGTCTCTCCGAATTCTTGTAACATCACAGATTTGATTTCATCATCTTCTAAATCGTTACCCTTGATGGCGCATGTATATGAAGTAACATGCTCATTGGAATCGGTGGTCCCATTATATTTGGGTATGTCTGTCATACGAAACTTCTTTGGAATAGGCTTCAGAGCCGCACTTGGAGGAAATGACTTTTGCACAAACTTCTTCGAATCCACCCCTTTCAAGATTGGCGGTGCCCCCGGTATCTGGTCAACTCGAGATTTGTATGTTTCCACATTTCTATCGTTGGCTTTGATTCTCTTCTCCCTCGATTCAATTATTTTGGTCAGCTCCTTGAGCATTTTCATTAGTGCAGGATCAGTCCCCGATTTGTTACCATTTGACCTTTCCGGTACTGGCTCGACACGACGAGTAATTTCCGGCTCGACCCTATTCGGAGCTCTATGTTAATTTTTNGGATTAGTCTCCAATTCGTTACCATTCGACCTTTCCAATACTGGCTCGGTACGACAAGTAATTTCTGGCTCGACCCTATTCGGAGCTCTATGTTGATTTTGTAACTGAGCAATAGCGGCTTGCTGAGCCTGAAGCATCTCGAATATCACTTGGAGACTGACTCCTTCGTCTTCTCTGCCTTGTATTCCTTGATCACTAGATCGTCCTTCTCTGCGTACGCTCCCATCGAGACCTGCACCTAGGTCTGCATTTAGAGCAACGTGCGAACTGACATCGACTGGGTTGGCAACTGGTGCTCCCCCGCAATTAGCCTGTGGCACCTCGACTCCTGGAGCAATCACATTTTCGATTTCACTGTGGAATCTGAGGCCGTTGTAACTGTGTGCGGATGCGTTTTGTAAGTTTGACATGTTTTAACCTGAAAGCAAAGATACTTGATAAGAACAAGCGTAATATAGTGCGTTTTACCAGAATTAGTACTGAACAATCACTATTATCCTTAGCCCCACGGTGGGCGCCAAACTGTTTACCCTAAAAACTGAGTAATAATTTAACTTATATTGTGGTTTTAAGGATATGTGATTTAAACCAGCACTAATTGATAAATAACGAATTAAATAGATAAATTGGACAATAAAATAAATCAAACCAGTTTGCAAATAATGCCTCGACCTTGATTCGAGATAGTCTCGAGGTTTAGTTAATAAGAATAGCAAAGGATGGAACAAGCAGTGATGAACAGTAAGACAAAGAAAGCAGCGTATATGTATATTCTTTTCAGTGAATCATGATCCTTACAGCTGATTGGAACTCCTCTTTATATAGTAGAGGAAACCTAATTATGGTATGTCTCTAATTACAGAAGAAAATCGTATAAATAGCTAGTTAACCGCTTCTGATTTGGCCCGTTCCGAGATTCACGCAATGAGCTTTGACCAATCACGAATATCCGTCCCAAGATTCACGCCGTGATCTTCGACCGATTACAGATATCTCCTCATTCCGTTATTATGCTCCCCTTGAAATCGGTCATACTTGATCTCGATTGTTGCTGGCCTTGGTCTCAACATACTCTTCGATCTTTAGGCTCGATGTCTCATCTCCGAGCTCGGGTTTAATTTATTACGAGGCTACCCCCGATGCAACTGCCTTGTCTCGATCAAACAACAAAATTGGGTAGGCCCGATTTTGACCATATATAAATCCTACAAGTAGACTCACCCCTACCTTGTGTAAGTAGAGAGGTTATCTTCAATAGACCCTTGAAAAATACTGTAATAAAGAAGAAAAAGGGAACAGTAACAACAACAGGTTAAGAATAAAACCAAGGCAAAGCAACATTAGGTAACTGTTGATCTAAGAAACAGAAAAAACGAGAATTGTAGAGGCGAATCCAAAGTTTAAAATTTATGAATTTAGAATTCTAGTCATATTAAGTTATCGGGTACTAAATTAATAATTGAGGAATGACAGCTCTTTAAAGTGGATTTTTTGATTTTATAAAAAACAAACTAAGGATCAAAATCACTAGTCTGTCTTCTTGTCCAATGCATCTCATCTCTTTTGCTCACCTCATTGGCTGCCTGCATATATGTCCCCTTCGGTTTTCCTACCACACAAATACAGTACCAAAAACCAGCCTAAAAAGCAGCCTGGTGCTCCAAGCTCTCATTATGTGCGGGGTTTGGGGAAGGGCGGATCAGAAAAGTGTATTGTATGCAGTCTTACCCCGCATTTCTACAAGACGTTGTTTCCACGGTTTGAACCCTTTACCTCCTAGTCACATGATAACAACTTTACCAGTTATGCCAAGGCTCCTCTTCAAATAGACCAGCCTAATATCTCCAATTTATCCAATTTAATCTAGGCGAAAGAGTCAAATTTTCTTCCCTATTATTTGACAAAGAGTAATTTTGAATCTTATCAGTTGTTTAGAAAACAATCTTATTTTTATCCTTAATTATATTGGAGCTTTAACCTAAACGTGAATTTAAACCATAGTATTCAAAAGTATAGGCAAATATGAACCTTTTTTTTCCTTAAGGAATTTGAACATGCGGAGTTCATACGTTTCATGTTAGAACTGCATTAATGATAAGAGCAAAGATGATTTGCTGACAACAACAGTATGTACGAATCAAAAATTAACATAGAGCAAACTAAACTATTTCGAATAGTGCACAGACAAATTTGGACATATCCCTTTAGTCTACCTCTACCCTATCTCAATTAGGGATGGTCATTATTCTATTTTAACACAAAAAATAGTCAATTAAACTAACACTCGAATTTGAAACTGAAACTTTAATGGAGTAATATTGTGACTTGTGCAAATCAATTTTAGGTAGAATTGGCATTTTTGATCCTTGGGTTATTGACTAGAAATATTAGACCATCAATTAAATGAAGGGTGTGATTTGGTCAACCATTAACTAAAACTAATTGTTAGTCCTTGAATTAAATTAAACACTAATGAATTTATCAGTAACACGAAGCTAGAACAGAGAAATCAACATCGAAGAGAGAAGAGTGAGCAGATGTGAGAAATGTTCTATTCAATTTTGTTCTGTACAGTGTAAATGGAAAGCTACTGTACATATTTATAAAACTACTCTAACCGATTAACTACTTGATAGATGTACTAACCACCTCTCTAACTATAATTAAGTTTACTAACTATAGAAGTTGGTATATCCTTGACACCCCCCCCCCCATGCTAGGACTGGGGAAAATGTTCAGAATTCCTAGCTTGGACAGCAAATTGTTGAATCTTCTCATGTATGAAATGGCAACCAATATAAATATGTTTCTTTCTCTCGTGAAAAAACAGGATTGATAGCAATAGCAAGAGCTTACTTGCTATCATAGAAGATAGTCACAGGAGACTGTTGCTCTATACCCAATTCCTTTAGCAAATCAAGGATCCACACTACTTCAACAACAGTAGAAGCTAGACTCTGATACTCTACTTCTGCTGTACTTTTAGAAATGGTAGATTGCTTCTTAGATTTCTAAAAAATCAAGTACCAAACTTGACAAAGTATCCTGTGACTGAATTGCGTGTGTTAGGACAAGCAGCCCAATTTGCATCACAAAATGCCGAAAGAGACTCAGAACAATGTGCATTCAATAGGAATCCTAATCCTGGACTGGATTTGATATATCTGACCACCTTGAGTGCAGCTTCCATATAAGAAGCCTTAGGAATATGCATACACTGGCTGAGACTCTGAACAACAAAAGAGATATCTGGCCTTGTGATGGTCAGGTAAAGTAGCTTCCCTAAGAGCCTTTGATATGAACCAAGATCAGTCAACAAAGTATCATCAGAGGATCCTGTGCAAGCATCAAATTCAGAGGTAGTCAACTTGGGATTAGTCTCTATAGGATAATCCACGGGTTTGGAACCTGAGAGTCCCAGGTCTGCAATAAGCTCCAGAGCATACTTGTGTTGATGCATTAAGATACCATCTTTATTTATGAAAATTCTATGCCTAAGAAATATTTGAGCTTACCTAGATTCTTGATCTTGAAGGAGGTTGCAAATCATCTTTAGTCTATTGAATTAATGTGATACTATCACCAATAATAAGGAGATCATAAACATAGACTACCACCATGTGATCTGCTGTCTTCCTAATGAATAATGAGTAATCCAAATGACTTTGCTGAAACCCAGCTGCCACTAAGGCTGAAGTCAATTTGAGATTCCACTGCCTAGGTACCTGCTTAAGCCTATAGAGGGACTTAAGCAACTTACAAACCGCAGATTTATCACTGGACCCATTGAATCCTTGAGGAATTATCATGTACACCTCCTCAGTAAGACCACCCTGCAATAAAGTATTGTATACATCCATTTGATGGATGGACTAATGCCTTGAGACTGCCATGGACAACACACTCCTAACTGTAACCATCTTCACTACTGGGAAGAAAGTCTCTTGATAATAGTCCAACCCTTCCTTTTGATTGTAGCCTTTAGCTTCTAGTCAGGCCTTAAACCTCTCAACCTCTCCTGATGCTTTATATTTGATTTTATAAACCCACTTGCAACCTATAGCCTTCTTTCCCTGAGGCAAAGAAACCAGTTCCCAAGTCTTGTTATCTTCTATTGCTTTAATATCTGTCTGCATGCCCTCTATCCATCTCTTGTCTTTGATAGCCTCATAATAAGTGTTTGGTTCTACTTGAACAGAAAAACTGGCCAAATAGCTTTGATATTTAGAAGAGATTACTTCATAGCCAATAACCTCTGAAATGGGCTATTTGCGGCAGCCTACAGATTTCATTTTGTCAGGCCTAACATAGTCCTTAAGCCAGATAGGAGGTTTAAATACTCTAGCTAACTTCCTTGTTTCCTCAGCAAGAGGAATTGTAGGAGAGTTAGATGTAGTAACAATGTTGTCATATTCAGTAGAAGAAGGAAGCTCCTGCCTATTTTAAGGAGCATCATTAGTGACAGGGGAGTAAGGAACATTGGGTGTAGTAGGATTACTACATGAGCTTGTGGTTGGAACAGGATTGTCTACTACAACTGAACTCATAGTAAAATCCTGCCTTGGCACTAGAGACATATCCAAAAAAGTGGTTGTAAAACACCTTCAACTGTATGAAAGGGAAAAACATCTTCATAAAAGACCACATCTTGATTGATAAAGAAAACTCTATTTTCCAAGTCCAACAGTCTGTATCCTTTCTGATGTGCTGCATACCCAAGCAGAACTGACCTCACATCTCTAGGTTCAAACTTATCATGGCTTGTCAAGTTAGTAGCAAAATATAGACAACCAATGACCTTAAGTGTGTCAATGAAGGTGCCTTACCAAAAACAAACTCATAAAGTGATATGTGTGCTAAAACAAAAGAAGGAATCTTGTTAATGATATAGACAACAGTGTCAATGCAATGCTCCCAATATCTAATAAGTAAATGTCCTTGAAACCTAATGGCTCGAACAGTCTCAAGTATGTGTCTATGTCTTCGCTCCACTACTCCATTCCGTTGAGGAGTATAAGGGAATGAAAGTTGATGTACAATCCCATGTAGCTGAAACAAGTCCTTGCAAGTATTATTGAAACATTCACTACCATTGTCTAACCTAAACATTTTAATTTATTGGATAAAATGTGTTTTGCCTTGTTTACAAGTTTTGCCGAGCAGGCATAATTTTGGTACAATCTTCATTCTAATCTATCTATCTATCTTGTTAAATTATTCACAAGTCATGTAGATGCATTCCAGGTAGATATTAGCCACATTAAAAAGGACTTGGTAGTACTGGGGAAGGGAAATGATGATTGATCACATTAAGTCAAGAGATTTATGGAACTGCATCTGTAATCCAATCGGCATTGGCCAAAGATTCAAGAGTTTTTTCTTTGGATAATGAATTATTTGAAAGTACATGGGGATGGGGGGTGACTTGTAAAAATCCTTTAGTCGACTAAATTTGTTTGTTGGTTGACTACTGTTATTCTGCAAGCAATAGTTAGTTCAACAGATATATGTAATAAATAATAAAGAAAAAAACAAGAGAGACATAGATATTTATACTGATTCGTGTACCGATGTGTCACCTACATCCAGTTCCCGTGGGTCATAAGGGTTCTCTTAGATCTTCAATCGAACAGTTACAAATGAGAGTGTGGTTTTTCTCATGTTTACCACAAATGAATTACAGTACAAAATCTTGACACAATCTTTCACTTGCTTTATTTTTCTCTCTATCTTTTGAAACACTAGTAAGTTTAGGAATACAATATTTTTCTAAGAAGTAGAAAGAGTGAAAACATGTTTGAAAGCTGCGTAGGTCTTCCACGTCTTTCCTTCTCTTCTTATATAGTTCTTGATAAGGCTCTCTATTCCTTGCGCTGAGATTTGAAAAATCGTTGATTATGATTTATCTCTTTGAAGTAGTGTATTCTAAAAATAGGACCCAAGGGTTGGCTCTTGAATCCAACATACGAAACATGGCTGGATTCAAAACCATTCAATTTTTTCGATCCTCATTGATGGTCTTGAACTTCAAGGCCTTCTATTCTTGTAGTCTTCTTCTTAGATGTCTGATTTGATTCTTCTGATTTACTTCCGTAGGTTATGAAAATTTGATTAATTTCCTTTCTTTACTTATTTCTTTGATGTACGCCTTTGATGAAGGATAGTTTTCTTCCTCTGCCGTTGAATATTCTCTTATTTCTTTCATATTCTGGTGCACTGATTATAGAGATTTTCCTTCTTGTGCTCTGGGCAATTGACCTGTATAAGTAGTAGAGACATTAGTAGATTATTTTTTACTTTTATTTTGGTTATCATTAAAATTCGAAACCTAACAATCTCCCCTTTTTTATGATGACAATAAATAAAAGAGTTAAAGATTTTAGGAGATTATTTATTTGACACTTCTCTTTCACATTGTATCTATTTTTCTTGCTAACATCAATACAATTGTGCTCCTCTTGTCTTTGTATTGCTTCTTCGCATATTGTTTGCCCTGTCTTTATACTCTTTTTCTTCTCCTCCTTTGACATCAATCAAAAAGAAGCAAGCGAAGATATACAGATAATGATAGATAATAACATACAGAGAATATACGTGCAATACTTATATATACAATAGTTAAGCAGTCATAGTCAAGCAAAAGCAGTCAAAGTTGACCCATAGTTGACCATATGCATGAGCAAGCACCACAAAAAAATAATGTCTTAGCAAAACAAAAAAAAAGGTCATGGTTTAAACATCCCACATAATTAATTCCTTCCAAGGAAGTACTTTAGAGTGTTGATCACTTTGGTGCAGAAACTGTCATAGTAATCATCAATCTCCTTGGAGACTTTGTTCAATCGCTCAGTGACATCCCACATAGCTCTGATCCCTTGTCTCTTTGTAATCTGAAATTTGATCATTAGTCTGGCCATATCTTCTCCAGTTTTCTTCGTTACATCCCTGATTTTGTCCACCTGTTCCTCCATAATGGTTAGCATGCCCTTGATACCAGCAATGTTTTATTGGATTTGCAACAACTGATATGAGGAGGAAGGTTGGCTGATTTTAGATATAACTCCTCCAATACCCTATTGAGTTGGGAGTATAGTTTCTGAGGCTTTGTCTATCTTAACCCAAGTCCTTTCAACCAAGGTGTATCTCATCATTGCAAAAGTTATTTTGTCGTAGGTGCTAGAGATGACTTTAGGATCAAAGGGAGGTAAGTCCACTTTCATCACTTGTAGAACATGAGAGATTAGTAGAACATAAGGTAAAATAATAGTAGAGGAAGATACATCCCTAATACTCTCAAGCATGTATTGAAGTATCTAGGCAAACCAATCTATAACTTTTCCATTTACAATACAGTCCAAGACAAACACAATGCAGTGTAGGAGGGTGCTAGGAATAATGTGGGCTAACAAACGATGCTCAAATTTTAGATCTTTAGGACCTATATCGAGGTGGTTTCAGACAGAAAACTTTTTGCTTATTCAAAAGACACTTCAAAATTATCACGCCACAAATGTTGTACAAAAAACTGTACTCAAAAAACTTAGTCGAGAAAATATTTTCAAACTGGTAAGAGTTAAGAATGATGCTAGTTCCTAGTACCGTGGATTCCAAATCATCTTTGTCGTTTACAAAAAAAATTTCATAAAACATACGTACCGGTTCCTCATAAATAGTATCACCAGCAGTTGCATCAGCGTGTTGGATTTTTCTGAACCGGTGACTTCTTCGAGGCATAGAGGAAGACGGAGAGGTTTGGTTTTGGCCATTGGAAAACAAGATTTTTGAATGAGTGATGGTGAGAGATGAATGAAGTAGTGACTAATAAGGAGAGAGGTGGGTGATGAAGGGTTGCTTTGATTAGAGTGAGACGTGTGAAAAGGCAATTGAAAATTTTTTCTTTTGGAGTACAATGCCGTCAATCACACATTAATGCATGCAATTATAGCAATCATATCAAATAAGGGAATTTCACAGAAAAGGCTTTTTAAAAAATATTAAAATAAACTAGCAGGTAAACCAACTTCATAATGTATTAAACTTATGAGCAGTAGATGGTTATTGAGGATTTGCCGATTTTGTCTCGAAGTGTGCAAAATCTTTCTTCAAGAAAATATTTTATAAAAATATCGGAAAGCTAATTTTCAGTGTTTACAAATTTTAACACAATATCATCTTTAGCAATATGATCATGAATTAAATGGTGTTTGATTTCAATGTGCTTAGCCCTTGAATAATGCATATAATTTTTAGAAATACAAATAGCACTAGTATGAATCGCACATAATTGGAACAGATTTAAGATGAAAATCATAATCTAGAAGTTGGTGCATAATCTACAGAATTTGTGTGCAGCAGTTGTCCACTGCCAGATATTCTACTTCAGTAGTGGATAAGGCAACACAATTTTATTTCTTGTTGTGCAAGAAAATGAGTGCTTTTCCCAGTAATTGACAAGTTTTA